CTCATTTTACTTTAATGTTTTTCCTCCCTTTTTTCAACTATTTACTTTTCAGTTGTCTACTAACAAAGGCCTGCATGTGCAACAAATGTACTGTTATTTTTCAGGCCAAAAAGCACACTAGAAATGAGACTGTAAAAGTGAAAAAGAAAGGAGAGAGAGAGAACGGTTGGAAGTGTGCACTGGAGAAACATCTTTCTGAGCAATTGATTCAGCAAAAACATTTCACTCACTTTTTCCTGCATCCAAACGCAGTATTTTAGAGTTGTAAGGCTATGTTGTTGATAGAAGGGGCAGTATTTCTTACAATGGCAGAATTTGAGTGATAAAATTTGTAGTGTGATAGAGAAAATAGAGAAATTCTGTGGCAGAGGGGCAATATTTCAGAAATAGAAGTACAGTTTTTGAGTGTGAAAACGGTTTAACATTAGATATATTTGGGTAAAGCGTTCAGAGACAAAAAATTCAGAGATAACGTCAGAGACAGAATGTATTTTTGAGGTATAAGACAGTATTTCGGAGACAGAGCAGCAGAATTTTACAGGTAAACAACAGTATTTCAGAAATAGAGCAGCAGAATTTCAGAGAAATATGACTGTAGTTCAGAAACAGAGCAGAAGAATATCAGAGGTATTTCAGAGACAGACCGTCAGTATTTCAGAAGTATAAAATGGTATTTCATATACAGAGCTGAAGTATTTCAAGGTATGTGACAGTATTTTTGAAACAGAGCGGCAAAATAGTAGAGGTACAGGACAGTATTTCAGAGATAGAACAGCAATATTTTAAAGGTATAGGACAATATTTCTTTACAGTTTTTCCCGATTGCTAACACACAATTCATGAAACAATTCACCATTTTCTCACAACTATAAACACAATCTCAAAACTACACACCAACTTGTGCAAACTTCAAACTTACAGGTCAAAATCAAATACTTTAGTCAAAAACATGTTCTCTTTTGTCAGACTCAAACTTTGGCCTCAGATGACACACAAACCTGCCAAATACACACACTACTTCACTGCCTATAGAGAACACTAGTGAGATCAATTCAAAACACTGTTACAAAAACATTCTTTTGGGAGATAGGAATCCTTTTGCTAGTCAATGACTGTTACAGTATACGACATAAATAGAGGGGTGCAGATACAGTAAAATTCAGCAATAAACTTTAAGAAAATTTACTGTCATTACACTACTGTAAAGAGATCTTACAGTAAATGAAAAGCACTACAAGAGAAAAGTTCAAAGACCAAACAACTAAATATACAGTAAACACACATTGGAATATACTGTCAGTTACTTTACAGAAATAAATAAATAATGAATGAATAAATAAATAAATAATTACAGTAAATAAATTCATTCATTCATTCATTCGTTCAGCATCCTCTGCCAATTTGCATTACAGTATTGGTAGTATCCTTATTTGTTATAGCAGTTTATTAGTCTTCTGACAAAAGACTTCTCTGCCTCCCCTAGACAGTCATCTCTCAGTTCTGCACAAATACAGTACATGTAAGGACTACTTGGCTACAAATCAATTCAACAGTAATGCGTTTGAGGGTGTACAACATGTACTACAGTATTTACTGTACATAGTATAATGAAAATTCTCTCACCTGAAGTACTGCTACTATGTACTGTAATTATATTGTATGTATAAGTAGTATTGAAACCTTGTAGATGAGCCTGTAGGCCAACTTCCCTCATGGTCAGTCCATGCAGAAGAACATGCTCAACTATAGTGCTTTATATTTCATCAGGAACAAATGACCTTTGACCTCATCCCCTTCATTTTTATTTCCCCCTCCTATTCCTTTTTGTCTCCCACTACCAGGATTAA